TATCTTTCAATGTGCCTGGTTAGTTCAGTCACAATAAACAGTTCAGTTCTTTTGGAAAGATGGGGTTTTCTCCTCCACATATTTTAAACAAAGATCTCATGTGAGCTGTTAGCGCTCTTATTTGTTGAGATGAGTTAGCTGCCATCACCAAATTTGATCTCCAAATCTGTGAAACTGAATGAGTTTGCTATAGGTTGATTAGCTGTGGAGGTCTTCTTGAAATGAGTTGGCTTAAAAATTAATTAGATATTATTTCCAAGAAATATACATCTTGGGTGAGTTTCAATAAAATCTGTCATGTGGTTCGGATGTTGAGTTAACAGATAAACAAATGTGTGCACTTGCACAATAAATTACACACTTGCTTACGTTTAATATGAGTAATCAGCTCATCATTGTGAAAACCTTTTGAAAAGCATGACGTGAAACTTTATGAAAGACATGGGAGGCAGTATTAATCACTGCAAACCAACAACACGTCTGAAACTACAAGCAGAAGGGTCACTCTTAGCCACATTACCAGTCAGACCAGCACTGAGCTGTCATGGTTTTCTCATGTGCTGAAGTGGGAGTCTTGTCTGCTGATGGACGAACAGGATTTCCAGGAAACCTTCTGCATCATCGCTGATGCAAGAAGTTTATTCATGCTCTGCAGGGGAGCACACGCAAACGCTCCACAAAGACACAGATCTCTGCAGTTATCCAAACAGAAACTTTAAATGAAGATTCAATTCAACTCAGTTTTATTTATATAGCGCCAAGTCACAACAGAAGACATCACAGGACACTGAACAGACATATTCATATATAAACATAGTAATTTAACATTATTTATCTGAGGAGCAGACTGCTTTGAGTTTAACTCCATCACAGAACTCTCATCTTGAGTAAGCATGAAGGCGACAGTGGAAAGGAAAAACTCCCTCATGAGGAAGAAACCTTTAACAGAACCAGGATCAGGACAAGCGTCCATCTGCTTCATCCAGCTGGGTTTGAGAGGAATAGATACACAATGGCAGGTCCAGCATCACGTTAAAAGAGAAATAGTATCAAATGGAAACTATTCAATTTTAACAATTAATTTAAGGAATTTAGGTCAATTTGTCCTTCAGTAGTCTAAGCCTATAGCAGCATAACAAGCTAACTCTAACTATAGGATTTATGAAAAAGGAAAGTCTTAGTCCCAGTCTTAAAACTGGACAATGTGTCAACCTCATGGACAGAAACTGGAAGTTGGTTCCACAAGAGAGGAGCCTGATAACTGAAAGATCTTCCTCCCGTTCTGCTTTTGGAAACTCTAGGGACCGCGAGTAAACCTGCAGTCTGAGAGTGAAGTGCTCTGTTAGGAAAATATGGAACAATAAGATCTGTAATATAAGATGGAGCTAGGTTGTTGAGAGCTTTGTGGGTTAGAAGTAAGATTTTGAAATCAATTCTGAACTTGACAGGGAGCCAATGGAAATAAGCTAAAACTGGAGAGATATGATCTCTCCCACTAACTCCAGTTAAGACTCTGGCAGCAGCATTTTGGATTAACAAGACTTTTTAAAGAAGTATTTCTATAAGAGGAACAAACTCGAGTTTCTGAAGGAATTCCAAACACTGACATATGAACCTTTGTGAGAGGGAGAGCTGCAGCCACCTTGTAGCTGCTGACAGCGTGTTTCAGGTTTGACTGTTGGCAACTTATTGATCAGCAAGTCTCATCTGTGGGCGTCCCCCACCTGTAGCAGTGAAATCTGTCCTGCGTGCTATTACAGCTTCCTCATGTTGATGAGATCCAAAGTGAACTGAATGCTCTGCATCCATATTTTCAGGCCCCCGGACACTACATGTAGATGATGACGCTACACTTTCCATGACCTATTAGAACACGACTCTCAGTCTGCACTAGATCACATGTACAATGTTACTGGAATCCATGATCTTGTCAGTCATAGTCTAGGCATGAGGCCAGTCCTGCTTCAAAATCCCCAATAACTAAAAAACTGCACAATGTATGTGGACCTCAGGTTCTGAAAATGCTGCCATACTGATAATAAACCGCAACAAAAACTGTGGAAGGTTTGAACTTGTTTTAAACCATGGTGAACTTATCACACTCCATCATGTGTGATGTGTGAATACGTGCTGAAAGACAACAATAAGACATTGGAAAGATCATGGAAAATCTGGTAGACTTTTTTTTTTACATCATATTGGGATCATCATCCAGAAGGAAATGTTTACAAGACTGTTGTATTGACAAAAAGACAGGAGAAAGAACTGGAAGTGGCAGAAATGAAGGAGTTGAGGTTCTCCTTAGGAGAGACAAGGATGGATAAGATTAGGAATGAGATCATCAGAGGTACAGCACAGGTTGAACAACTGGGAGATAAAGTTAAAGAGACCAGACTGAGATGGTTTGGACATGTCCAAAGGAGGGACAGTGGGTATATTGGTAGAAGGATGTTAGAAATGCAGCTGCCAGTGAAAAGACAAAGAGGAGATATATGGATGCAGTTAGAGAGGACATGGAGGTAGTTGGAGTGAGGACAGAGGGTGCAGAGGACAGAGTGAGATGGAGATGCTGTGGAGACCTCTGAAGAGGGAAAAGCTGAAAGAAGAAGAAGAAGTTGGATCATCATCCAGAAGACCATACAGTGCATTGTCTTCAGAGCAGCAGGGGGGAGCTTTCAGGCTTCAGCCCTATGGTAAATGGACTTAGTGCTATTTAGATCACATTCATACACTGATAGGACACACATCAGAGAAAATGAGGGGTTCAGTGTCTTGCCCAGGGACACTTCAGCATGTAACTGCTGGTGGAATCAAACCCCCAACTCTCCCGCTGGAGGGCGACCGCTCTAACCACTCAGCCTCAGCTGCCTCGACTCCCTGTCCTCCTCCTTAAAGCTTGCAGTCACTGCACTGCTGCAGCTCGGCCCTTACTCTGAAGCAGCACTGACTCTTAGTGGTTGTTTTTACACATCACTGCTCACATGCAACTCAGAGGAGCTAGCAGGAGACTGAACTCTGTACCATGACTGGTCAAATATTCAGACATTTGTTTTACAATTAAACACATCTGGTCTTGCTTTACCTGGACTACATCTTTTTAGACTGATGTATGGAACAAAATAAAGGTCACGTTTATTATAAAGAAAGAAAAAAAAAGACTTAAGTCTGGCTTTGATCATGAACTTTGAAAAACAAATGTATTTACATTAATGAAGTGAAGCAAAAGCTTTGTTTCTTGCTTAAAATTAGCTGCAATTCCTTTTTTAAATACATTGTTGGGGGATTATTTTTCAATAAATCTGTACATTTGTTTTGTTTATATCTTTGAAATATATATATATTATATAGTGAGTGCCTTTTTAAATACCAGAGCTGAGTCTGATTTTATTTTTTTTATTAGTCAACTACACTTACTTTGGTAAATTACTTTCAGGGAAACAAAAAACTAAATTAGGAAATTTAAACAGAGTGTTGTTAAGTGAACAAAGATAAATTTAACTAAAAGAATGAGACCAACATGAAAAAACTGGCTAAACCTACATCAAGTCATTCAACAAGCAACATGAGTTGAACCAAACAGTTCAAACCTTCATGTTACAAAGAAACGACACAATTCAATTCATTTCGGTTTATTTTTAAAGCGCCAAGTCACAACAGAATTCATCTCAGGGAACTGAATAGAAACAATAGTTCATTTTGGAATCTGCATAAATTAGTAAACAGATATATTGTTTTAAAGCAACAAGTCATTTGTATGTTTCATTTACATTTTAGCAACAATAATAAATTCAGGGGGAAAAAAGGTATATTTAAAAGCATGATTAATAAAAACAAGTGATTTTCTTTAATTTTCAGTTTAAACTTTTTTTTTAATTTGTCAACAAGTAGTTACACAAACTTTATCTTTCCACCTCAGTGTGTATTTTCTCACAAATTTGGGGATGAAATTATTATTTTTTTACTTTTACTTTTGGTCCAATGAATTTAAATTTTTACTAGAATCCAAGTTTACATATTGATAAGAGTAAACCATTTTGCACCAAAGACCCAATACAAGCTGGAAAAGATTAATTGAAGAAAAAATAATAATCGATGCGACAAAGTCAAAGACTTAATCATGTTTGACCTTTCACAACAAGAGCATGTCATCCTGCAACAACAGAAAAAAAAAAAGTTTTTTTTTAGCAGTGGCACAGTTGGTAGAGAAGGTTGCTGGATCAAATCCCTGGGCCTTTCTGGGTGGAGTTAGCATGCATGCATGGGTTTTCTCCGGGTACTCCGCTTTCCTCCCACAGACCAAAAACATGCACGTTAGACTGACTGGTAACTCTAAATTGTTCTTATGTGTGAGTGTGAATGGTTGTTTGTCTCTCAGGCCACTTCTCCACGGACGTGACTTTCATCAGTTCGCATCGACTCAGCATTGGCCAGTTGTCTCCATTCCGTTCCTGACTGGTTTTAGGACCTGCCTCTGCCGTGGTTCCAAGCGAGTTATGCTGAGCAAATGATTATGATGTCATCAAACTGCAGCCGTTAACTGGAACGTGGATCGACGTCACTGGATGAGCCGAGGCTGTACTTGCAAACACGCAGCTTTATCGCTATACTTAAATAGTTTTCAGAACCCTCGTCTTTTTTTTTTTCTCCAAAAAAGCAACAAGCAACAAATGCAGCTAATTTTTCCAGCGTGTCTGGTGAATTTTAGAGGCTGCACTAATCATTCAGCAGCCACTGCCCTCAGCAAACAGAGTGCTGCTGTAAGCACCGCCCCCTCCCAAAGCTCTGACGGGCCTACCCACAGAGTGGGGGACAAACTCCCAAAGGAGACACACCTACACCTGAGAAAAAAACTAAATAGAAACAAGGAGATTAGAATCGTACTTAAGAATGGAGAAGCAGCTTGTGTCCCTGTGATGGACGTGTGACATGTCCAGGTTGTGCCTCGCTGGAAATGGGCACTTAGGACAGGGAGAGGAAAAAACAGGTAAACATGATAGATGGATATTTTTATTTATTTTTTACGAAATAACTCAAGTTATCAAGTCAACCAAAGCTGTTGGAAGCCATTTTTTAATAAAGTGTTTCTTTCCATCCAGAGACATCTGCTGACCAACTTCAGCTCCTCTGAAGTGTTTCATCTGTTAAAGAGTCCAGGAGGTGACGCAGGTCAATCATGTTGCAGACATGACGGTTGTTCAGCCGCTCTGACCATCTTCAGGTTTATAAAACGTTCTCAGAACGTCACCACTTTGGGCTGCTTTGGTTTGGCTTTCTTTACTGGAACATGCACCTCCTCATGGTCTGCGCTCAGATTGTTGGACATCCAGCACAAAGTCACTGAATTAGCTATGAGGATGGAAAGACACATACGAACAATTAGATGATAAAACCATTTTTGATGCCGAACAATTTTCTTCTGGTTTGTAACGTGAAAAACTAAACAGCAGGCAATAACTACTACAAAGTTTGTATTTACATTTGAGAGGCGACTTTATTTGTTTCATTGTCCAATAAATGTAACATTTAAAAGCACGATTCATTAAGTACTGCTCAAAATAAATGATCCTACCATCGAGGGACAAACACACTCACTTGCAGCTTGATGCTCTGGACAGTCCTTCTGAAAATGTTCCACTGAACCACAAACATGACAGCAGCCTCCTGTGGGCACACAAATCTTCAGCTCATCAAGTAGCAAAATGTCTAAAAACAACCACACTTTCACAACCAACAAATCAAAAACACTTACAAAATAAAGTTAGGCACAGCAACCAGGCAGGTTTTTTAAGCAGTAGCTATAAACAAGACACTTTTAAAAGTACAATATGTTATAAATATCTTTACCAAATGAAATAAAATGTAAAACACTAAACATAATATTAAGGTATGCGTTTGAAATAAGTTAGAAAAAAGTGATATTTCAGAAAAGAAGCAAGCATTAAATTAGGTCTGCAACAACGAATCAATAAAAATTGATGAATAAAAGTGTTGGCAACGAATTTGATTATCAATTTGCTGTGTTGCGCAATTAATTTTTGTGTACTTTTTTTAATTGAAGCTATTTGACAAACTTTTTTTATTTTTATTATTCAATATTTTACTAACAGAATAGTCAAGTAGCAACCTGTTTTTGTGCGATTTGCTGTGTCTGTCAAATTTTGGAATAAAAAGGTGGAAATTAAAATGTTGTTTTTTTGCCGATTCATCAATCCGGGAAAATAATCGACAGATTAGTCGATTATTAAAATAATAGTTAGTTGCAGCCCTACTTTAAATATTATAGTTTATTTTAAAAAGGTGAATAACAGAACCTTCATGCATGCTATTAGACTTGGTTCAAAATGTAAACTATTATAAGTATAAATACTGTTGAGTGCTGAAGTACCTTGTGCGTAGAGTCCTTTGGGGTTGTCAGGACACGAGCGGGACAGGTGTCCAGTCTGACCGCAGATGAAGCACTTGGCAAATGGGTACTCACCTGAGGGACAATAATCTGGTCACAGCAGAGTTACAGGAAGATGGGCCAAAAAAGTCCAGCTGAGAAGACTCACCCAGAGCCGGATCCACTTTGGCTTTGCACTTGCGGATATCATGCTCGGTGGAGCCGCAGCGGTAGCAGATGTCTCGGCCCATCTCCTCGTCTCTGACAGCATCAGGACAGTCGGCCAAACCGTGACCGGGCTTCCTGCAGTTAAAACATACCTGTGGAGAAGAGAAAGCCACTTTTCATTTCAAAAAGAGATTCGTTTTTATATTAAAAATGATTTAAGTTCTATTTAAATTTCACCCTTTTCTTCCTTGCTGTAACTTATGTTGTCATTTGATTGAACCCTGATGTGGAGACTGTAACTCACCATTTTGTTCTTTTTGTCCTTCTGTCTCTTTATCCTCCTGTCCTCCCTCTTTTGGTCCTTTTTCAGGGCCACCTTCACCTCCTCCCTTAGCTGACGCTCTCCCTCTCTCCCCCTTTCCTCCCCAGCAGGCAGTGCCTGTCCGCTCTGCTGCAGGTACTGCAGGAAGCCATTCACGTCCTCGTTGGTATAGTCCTTCTTCTTGCGGTTGGGCTTCTTCACGCCCGATCCATCAACCTCAGTCCTTTTCAGGGGGTCCCTCTGAGCTCCTCGTGTGCCCCCAGCAGCGTGACCTCCTGCTCTTCCTCCTCCTCTCAGCTTATTCCAGGGAGTTGCTTCTTCTGGTTTTTGTTTGTGTACGTTATTGGCTCTCGCCCACCTCGTCATGACTGCAAATAGTTGACTGAAACACAAGAGAAACTCTCAAGCCTTACAGGATGATACAAATTATTATTTTATTTATTGATGGTGTTCAAAACACACCAAATCCTCTGGATTATAAACATTACATTAAGACCAAAAACTCTTCAGGATGCAAGTTTTATTAGCAACTGGCATTTACATTTGGCTGGTTAAATAACAAGCTCATTTTCTATAAGTCGCTGCAGAAGCACAATTTGGAAGCTATTTTGATCCACAGTCAACAAATCTACATTGTATGAGTTATCAAATTAAAAATAACCCAGTAGTAAAAAGGATTTCATCTCTGGAGTTTGAACATATTGAAGCTGCGGTGTCAACAGAGCAAACTGTCTGACGTGGATCAGAACATTTTATTTCTAGTGTTACAAAAGTCCACCAACTTGCAAGTTCCATGTGTTATGTCCAATATTAATACAAACTCAAATAGTGGGTCTAATATGTTGGAGATTTACACGTAGCTTTTAACTAAACCACCGGATGTTTGTGTTACTCTGAAAAAAAAAAGAGCAAATTTTATAATAAAATAAAACTAGGAAATCGGTTACTGTTGATTCGCTGTAAAAGTTTCGTTTAAAGCCTTAAAACGTACATAAACCTTACCTTTAGTTATTTTCAGCCCATGTGTTTTCATTTTTTTTTACCGGAAGTAAACGTGCGGTTTTTCTTCTTCGCTCATGCGAATTCTAGTTTGACTTATAAGAATCTGAACGTTGTCGCCACCTATTGGTAAAGTGTGGCAATTACGTTGAGTTTTCTTCATTCTGGGAGGAAAAATAAAATCAAATCATGCGAGAAGACACATTCTCCCTGTAAAAATAAATAGTCTGAGACATGTTAAGTACTTAATTAGTTATTAGTTTGTAGAATATTGATAAATCCAGTTTATTTTATATTCTCAAACTTTGAATTATGCACACTCTTTCTGATTAAAATTTCTTACAAAGTTCAGATTTTTGTCATCACAGAAACCTGTATCAATTGTGCCTCTCCCAAACAGTGAGTGCTTCTGAATATCAATATTTAAAACAACCTGGCTCTAGTTCCAGTTTGCTGCTTTTTATGTCTTTCAGTTTTTTCTTTAATCACTGTACACTGTACATATTTATTTCTCCTATTTTGTCACATTTTTCAGTCATAAATACACTTACTGAAAAAAGGCACCAAAGTGGTAAAAATTAAACAGAACCACATTTGCTGAAAAGTGCTTACAGTAAAAGATCAGAAAGAGATAGGCTTGCTGCTGTTCCCATGTCAGTGCCTATAGTAATTTGGTGTGGAAGAAAGTTAAACAGCCATTTGTTTCCTGCGAAACATCAGCAACAGTAGTTTCTTCACCCAGAAATCACCACTGTGTTGGGATTGATGTATAAACTTATCCCACACATGTTTGACGGGGGAAAGATTAGGGCAGAAACTTCAAAATGTGTAGGTGCCACCATGTACCCAGTGGTTCCAACACTGGGCCACTGTTATTTCTGTCTGCCCCACACACCGAACAATGGCACAATATATGACCACTGGCTTTACAGAAAAACATAATAAGAACTCAACAGTAAGTGCTAATGCTGTTAAACACGTCTATCATGTGTATCCAGTGACCTTCAATGACTTTGACTGTTGGACACTCTTGTTAACTTGGAGGGATTGAATGAGGTCCACTGCTGAAACACATCTGAGCTAGAAATGGAAGGATTCCCAGAATCAAAGGAGCTGGAGAGACAGTTTGTGCAGATCACTGTAACCAACAATAAAATGTTACAGAGTCAGTTTGTCAGTTGTGATGTGTTATTTTTTTCCCACCAGTCACACAGTGGTGCAGTAGTAGAGCTACAAAGTGTTTTATTAATAAAGGTCAGCAGGTTGTTCTGATCTAACATGTTCCAGAACAGGTTGTTCTTTAGAGTCAGTATATTTATCTTTGGTACTTCAAGACAGGTTTTTGTTTGAATATTTCCATGAAAAAACAATCGTTTTTATGCAATTTCATTTAATTTCTTTTATTATTTTGCAAAATAATATGTTGCTCCCCACTTCAGGGCTGAGAGCTAGCAAGTTAAATATTTAGGTCTGAACTAAATATTTAGTTACCAAATTAAATTTTTATTTTGGAAATGAAATGTTTATCTTGAAAAATAAATATTTAGGTCCGAGCTACATATTTATTTAGAAAATAAAATATTTAGTTTGTAAATTAAACATTTAGCTTGGAAATACACATTTAGTTTGTAAACTAAATATTTAGTTTGGGGAGTGGTGGCGCAGAGACTAGAGAAGGTGGGCCTGTGATCAGAAGATCGCCGGTTCAAGCCCCGGTACCAAAAACATCAAAAATGTGGGTTGGGTAGGTGAAGCACCCACACCTGCCCCCACCCTCGTTTGCCCCAACCTGGGCCCATGAGCAAGGCCCTTAACCCCCATCTGCTCCCTCAACAGGTCTCTCGTGAAAATGTGTTCTCGTGGCTCAATGAGACTACCTGTATAAATAAAGGGTAAAAAAAAATAAAAAAATAAATGTATGAATATCAAGGTGAAAATATGACTTTGAAAAAAAACCTTTTTTTTCTTATGAAAGTCTAAATAAACCAAAATATTGCTGTTAATTTTTGCCTGTGTGACTTTACAAATGGTGCCCCATATGGAAGAATTTTAATAAAACTATCAGTATGTAACCATTGGATGTACATATATAAATGATAAACATATGGAGCCAACTCAATTCAAAATGACAGAAATTGAGCTAAAACAAGATGTGGCAACAGCTGGATGTCATCCTCAACAGAACCATAGAGAGAAAAACATTACTGTCTAAACTTTGGTATAGATTATTAAGGTTAACACTATCTATAAGCACTTCCTATATTTGGGGTCAATCCAAATCAAGATAGCTGACGCAGCTAATCAACATTATCCAACAGAAATATATATATTTTTTACCCTTTATTTATCCAGGTAGTCTCATTGAGCCACGAGAACTCATTTTCAAGAGACCTGTTTAGGGAGCAGATGGGGGTTAAGGGCCTTGCTCATGGGCCCAGTGTGGGGCGAATGAGGGTGGTGGCAGGTGTGGGTGCTTCACCTACCCCACCCACAAAATGGCTCTAATTTAGTCAATCTGATGGATATTTACAGAACTCTAGCATGAACGATAAGAGTTTCTTTCAAGGAATACTCTGCCATTATATCTACTATTTGCAAAATTGTGGGGAAATAAGACAAATGAAAGATTGACATACAATATAGAAAAGAAGATATATGTCAAATTTTCAAAGTGGTTTTAGAAAAGGAAGAAACCCGATGGATCCAGTCTTGTGTCTTGAACATAAAATCAGAAATTCTCAGATTAATAAAGTGTTGTAGCTGTTCTTTGAGGTAAAAAAAAATGTGTCTGATATAATGTGGAGAAAGGGATTACTTATATAACTGAAGACAATGAGCGTCACAGATCAAATGTTTAAATGGATAAATTATTTTCTATCAGAGACATACAGATGACAACAGGACAAAACTATTCAGAAAAATATTTCATAGAATATGAAAACATGGTGAGTCTTTTATTTATTTATTTCTTTAATGATCATTGATATGTTTGATGATTTAGAAAGTGGAACGGGAATATCGTTATTTACTGATGATGGAGTTTTGTGGAAAAGGGGAAAATTTTGATTTAATTGTTAAAAAGTCACAGAAAGCATATACAACCGTTGAAAAGTGGGCTAATAAATGGGGATTTAAATTTTCAGTAGAAAAGACCAAAGTAGTATTTTTACAAGGAAACAAGTAATAAATGAGATGGGACTTGAGTTATATGGACAAGAACTTGAAAAAGTGAAAGGATTTAATTTACTTGGAATCTGGTTTGATGAAAAAATAACATGGACAGTGCACATTCAAAAAGTTATTGAAAAAAAAACATCATGAGGTGTTTAACAGGAAGAAACTGGAGAGCAGACAGGAAGTCACAAAGGATTACACCAGGATTAATCAAAATTAGACTACGGAAGTACAATTTATAACTCAGCTGAAAATACAAAATTAGAAAATCAAACCGTATTTAATATCATACATTAAGAATTGTGACAGGTGTATTTAAAACAACACATACACGATCAATATTAGTAGAAATGGGAGAGCCACCACTAAACATTAGAAGAGATCCACTAGCTGTAAACTTACTGGGCAAATCTAAAAGGTCATGAACAGAACCATCCAATACAAGAAGGGTTAAAATCATGTTGGAAAAAGGACAAAAAACGTGCAAAAAGCTTTGGTTGGATCATAAATAAGAAAATTATAAAAATTCAGATCCATTTTAATGTCAGACCAACAGTACTACTAACAATCATACATTCATGGATAGTCACAGTTCCAGTAGTAGATTTAAAATTATTAGAAAAAAAATACACTTATAGAATACATTAACCAATATTATGGATATGTAAAAAAAACCTATTCAGATGCATCAAAGGATACAGCATATCAGGTCGGGGCAGCATTCATTGTTTCTGAGTTTGGGGTGAAAGTAGGGAAGTGTATCAGTTACACGTTGATCAATGGATTGAAGATAATCAACCACTGAGATCAATAATTTGTTCAGAGCATGATTCGCTGCGGCAACCCTTGAAGAGGAAACAGCTGAAAGAAGAAGATGAATTCCAGTTCTTCATTATTATTTGGGCGGCTGTGGCTGAGTGTTTAGAGCTGTCATCCTCCAGTGTGAGAGTTGGGGGTTCGATTCCACCAGCTGAAGTGTCCCTGGGCAAGACACTGAACCCCTCATTGCCTCCGATGCATTTCCCATCAGTGTATGAATGTGATAAAAAGCACTTTCTTTGTATAGATCTGGGAGAGTGCTGTATGAATGGGAACACAGATTGTGTTGTAAAGCGCTTTGAGTATCTTGATCAGATAGAAAGGAGCTATATAAGTACCATTTATTTATATTTACCATTTATTATTCCATTTAAAAATAGTCGTTGAGAAAGCAGACCGGACATCATGATGGAAATACAACAAACATTGTACAGAATTAAAATGATGGGTTTAATTGTCATATTTGTGTGGCTACCAGTGCGTTTTGGCATAAAAAGAAATGGAATAGCAGACAAAGTTGCAAAGACGCTACCAAAAATATATGAATTATAATATATATATAACATTCTGTGGAGCAGAAGTAAAAAGCATCACTAGGCATAAAATTAGGGAAAGATGGCAAAAGCAATGGGAAGAAGAAAGAAAAGGTCGATAGTTTCATAGAATTCAACAAAAAACAGGAGAAATGGGTTGGAAGAAACAGGAGGGAAGAAACAAACCGTCATATCACATCTTGGATTTGGACACATGTCATTAAACAGGACATTATTATTCACAAAAGGGAAACAGAATGCAGGTAAATGTGAATACTGTGGAGAAGATGAGACCATAGATAATGTGTTTATGTTAAGCCTGAAATACAGACATGGAGGAGCTCAGCTGATTAACAGTCTCACTAAAGTAAAGTAATGTTTGATCCAACTTAATTATTGTGGAAACTCTAATAGTACACAGGCTTTAATACAATAGCTGAAACAGACTTGTGTGTTTAAAAGAAAATTAGGTTTATTTATTTAGTTTTAGAGTCATTTCAATTCACACCACTTACCAGATGGTGGCAGAAATTCTTGTTTACCAACCGCCAGTGAAAACACAAGAAGAAGAAGAAAAAGCTTAAAGGGCCTCTCATAGAGCTGCAGCTCACAGCTGACTCCACTCAGTGGGATTACAGAGCACCCAGAGCTGCGAGCTTCATTCAGAGGCTGCTGATGACAGACATGTCGCTCCTGCTCTTAGTCATTCTCGTGATTGCTGATAATGTGAATACTGGTAATTGCAAAAAGTTCAACTTTTATGCTGTCTTGGTTTATAACAGTTAGAACAAACTAACTTGTTTATTTGCTTTTGTGTTTCAGCGGTAATTAAGTTTGAGGCTCACCCAGAGACTTTAGAAGGTAAGCCTTCCATCGTCAGGACGTCTGTGCCATAATTTGTTTAAAACATTCATGTCCCAAAATACAACTAAGTAAGTCACGGTTTGTAGTTCACTCGTGTATGGCCCAGTACAAGTTTCCATAAAATGGCAAAATTGGCTCTCTGCATTTAACCCCCCCACCACCAGGTGGAGCAGTGGGCGTCCTTTGGAGGCGCCTGGGGAGCAACTGGGGATGGGGTGTCCTGCTCAGAGATGACACGAGATGTGCGCTGACCGGGGACTGAGCCCGGGACCTTTGGGTCCCGAGTCAGCTGCCCTGCCCCTACACCATCTTGGCCCCCATGTTATATATTGGGCGTCTTTATGAATATGTATCTGATGACTACTTTCTGCTGTCGGTCAGCTTTAGTGCACTTTTACTTCTGGAGGAAGGAAATTAGTTTGCTGTATCTAATAATTTGTGTGAACATTTTCCAGAGCTGATGTCCGATCAATCATATTTGGTGGTGGAGGGAGACATCATCTTGCTGGTAAGAACAAAGGAACATCAACATTATACGTTGTTTTTCTTCCAATTAGTCTATTTTAAAGGAGCCCCCCACCCTCTACATTTAGTTTCAAATTATGTTGAACTTAATGGTCTACTCATTGCATTCAAATGTGGCTCAAGTAAATGTTTAGTAGATTTAATGGAAATGTGCTGAAATGATTGTCAGTCAACATTTCAGATGCATAAGAACCGCAAGAAAAATTATCACTGACGGAATGAGTTTAAAGGCAAAACATTTTGTGTGAATTGTTGTTTTATGAATATAAAAATAAATGAATGAGGGTGGGGGGAAGCCACATTTTCAAAATAGTTTGCAAAAACTTATTTAAACCTGTATAGAACAGGGTTCAATTGTATGAACTGGTATATCGTTTGTTGAATTATAGAGGTCTATATATCCAGAGGTTTTTAATGAATTCTGTGGGATTTAGTTTACAAGTACTAATGTTACCACACTGGAAGTCATTTCACCCATCCTGTTAATTATAATGCAAGTGTATGTATTGTGTCAGCCACTCTGGCTTTGTTGGTCATTGCAGCTCAGGCTGAAATGATTGAACCCAAGATTTTTCTACTAATACACAAAATAAACGACAAACAAAATAAACTATACATTTCTTTTAATAAATAAATGTGTGAGCAGAATATGCAGTGGTCTTGATTTTAAAAATCAAACTCTTAAAGCTGCTTTAGTGCCTCATTGCAACCGTTTTATTTTGGAAATTTGCATTTTTATAGTTTGTGGAATAAAAGTCGAGTAGTTTCTAAAATATAAGTGGTCGTTCAAAATATATAAAAGACTGGTTCTGAACAGTATGTATTGTCGATAGTTGTTTGACCGGCCTCAGATTGGAGAAATTTTAATTCTAATAGGATCGATGAGCTAAAAGTTACAGAAGTTATTGCACTAACTGTTAATTCTAGCTCTGGTAGGTACGTTTATTTTCTTGAGTAAGATTACAGCAGCTGTATCGTCAGTATTTTCTTCAAGTGACAATTCTTATAA